AGCATGTTTTGTCAAATAGCTTAACGCACGTGGTCACGTATTTCATAAATAGAACATGACGTTTCCAGTGCAAAAAAGCGGGAATTTTGCAACAACAAAGCAACGTATTCACATCCAAGTTATTAGAAGAAAAGTACGTATATTTTCGTTATTTTTACATATTAATGCCTAAGATTTATTATCATGGTAATGAGTTTAGTTCACAACTAGTTTTGATTGTAATTTCGTTGAGTTATATTGTCCATCAGTAAGTAATTTATGTATAAAGTGCACGCTCGACTGATCGAGCTTTTACCACTCCACAGAGTTTAGTATATAAAATTATTGAATAAATTTTAAATATCATCGATATTTTGAACATACTAGTATGTAGTTCACGCAGAATGCTTGACATTATGTAAATAATAAGAGCAGCACTTTACCCGTAGCCCGTATGCGAAACGTTTTTACAATATTTATTCGCCACGCCACACGGTACAATTTACGGTTACGGGGAAACGCGGATTGCGGATTGCGGACCGGGTTATTTTTAGTAAGATATGCAAAAGCCTTAATACAAATAGCATATAGTAAAAAGGTATGTCACTGCATGAAGGTATTTTTAATAGTCATTGAACTTAAGTACATAGGCGTACCGGGCGGGGGGGCGGGGGGGGCGGCAGCCCCCCCAGTTTTTTGGGCAGTCGGGCAATATTCGATGAACAGTCGGGCAATTTTGGTTTGCAATAAAAAAAAAATGGGTCAAATTCTGTCAATTTTGTCTAAAATTAATTCAATTTTTTGGCAAATTTTATTTTTTTCGAAAATTTATGTTATGCTCCGGAAAAATTGTTTGTCCGGAAAATTTTTTTGACCCCTAAAATGGTACACTGACCGAAATTTTTTTGGCGACGGGGGGGGGGAAGGTCGCCAAAATAATTTTTCCGGAAAAATTTTTTTGGTCCTAGTCGGGCAGAATCCCGAAAAGTCGGGCAGAATCTCGAAAAGTCGGGCAATTTTCTTGCCGCCCCCCTAATTTTTTCCTTCCGGTACGCCCATGCTTAAGTAAATTTTTCAGAGGGCACAAATGTTGTTTTTGTAGTATATAGATGATTTCGTGAACATGACCGAGGCGTTCATTAGACTGTTGAGAGACACTGTTGAAGAAATTGATTGTATCCTGACAGCAAATTATCATGAAAATCGTGAGTTATGTCTAAGGCGTCTGGAGGTGCTAGCGGAACAAGCAATGAGATGTGATGGTGTAAATCTAAACATCATTGATCTATTAAATCAGGCGAAAAATATTATAAGGCGAGACACAGCAAGGAATGATGACTATTGCTCTTATCAAACACCACAAGAGATAACTGGCAGAAGAGGAAGACCAAAGTTTTTCATTGCAGAGGAACAACTACACTTTTTTCAAAGTAATGTTGTAACTGTATGTTTTAATAAGTATTTATAACGCTTATATATATATATATATATATATATATATATATATATATATATATATATATATATATATATATATATATACTGCAAAGCTCACTTCCCTTGTGGTCGTTAGAGCACTCTTGCCCCATGACGCTATGCGCATGTCTGGATGCGTTGATGCCACCGTGTTGAACCACATGCGCCTGGTGAGAGCACTTCATGTGGTTATATACGGATGTCATCACGTATGAAGACAAGTACCAAGCGGCACTGATGAGGCATTGTACGCCGAAACATGCATGTCTGTAGATTGTACAATATATATATATATATATATATATATATATATATATATATATATATATATATATATATATATATATATATATATATAGACATATCACATGGGTTGTGGAACAGGGGGCTATATAGGAGGGGCATTAGGCTCCCCCCCCCAAATATTATGAAGAGAGCGAATTGAATAATATGTCTTTTAACTTTTTGCTCGCTGTCTAATATGTAAAAGAAAATATCATGCACTATGATTAAGTAAATTTAAGTTGACTTTCTTTGAATCAATTTTATTTTTTATTTCTCTACATTCCTGATTTTATATTGCTGTAATAATACAATCAACATTTTTTTGAGGAAGGCGGGAGAAGCTGTTATATAATTAAAAGTGCTATTGTACACAATTTTTTGCAACTAGTCTAATTAAAAAGCTGATGAATTTTTAAAAAATTAGCCCCTCCTCCTCCCCTTGAACTATACATATATTAGTCAAATGTTAGAAATAGCAGTTTATCCAAAATATAGAATGTTAATTGTCCATTGATTATTGTGTAGGTTAATATTAAATTTGTCTTTTTCAGTTATCTTCTTTTTTTTAGTTGTACATATATTAGGTGAAATAATCTCTATGCCACTGTGACCCTGCGTTTATTACTTATTAGGAAATGGATTTACCCAAAGAGAGATGGCCAAAATGCTGGGTGTTAGCTTACGCACAGTTGAGAATAGATTTGTTGAATACAATATGACGAATGTATATCGTTACAGCGATATTGACGACGACTCCTTAGATGTTCATGTGCAACACATAGTTGCACACTTTCCACGATCAGGTAAATACTTTATAATGGAGAAAATACCCTAATCTTCAAGCGGTTAGCTACTAAAAATTATACCCTTGAAATGACATTGTAAATTATTTTTAACAAATTGTGTTAATATAACTTTACTTGACGTTGTTTACGATTTTCCAACATTTTTACTTAAAGGACAATGGCAATAAATTTTTTTATTCTCGATATCTATTAAACATACCTACGGAATACTTAATTACGTATTTTCACTTGTCTATCGCGTTTAGTTGTTCAGAAATATCATAAAACTTTCGACAGTCGTCCGCCATCTTGAAAAAAACCTGGTATGCTAATTTATGTGAGAATAAATTTGTGACGTCAAGAGCAGGGGAAACAAATATTGTCAATATAAAATAGTATGCGTGTGAACACATTCTACGAAGATTTTGACCAAAAAGTGCGGATAAACTCCAATTTTTTTTGTATAACTGCGTAAAAATTTAGCGCTACTACTCTACTGTGTGTTTCAGCCGTGTTTTTAAAATAAACGCGTTGATTTCGGCGGTAAAACCGCTTTGATTATAAATGATTACCATAGGCATAGTCTGGTACAATGTCAATATGACAATATGCTCGCCTACTTTGTAGACTTTATATTTACTGTTCTCGGTGATCGCGGCTATGACCACATCAACAGGAATAATATCGCATAAATAAACACTATTGCAATTCGCGTGTAAAAATCGTTTTGATGTTTTTGTGATATAAATAATGAGAGAACAACTTTGTTTATAAACTAAATTTTAATAAAGCATTAATATATACACCACTGCACTTTTTTAGATAATAGAACAATTGCATGCAAATTATAATAACATTTGTTGTAGAAAATTGGGGTTGCATGCTGCACATTATAATAAAGCTGATTGCATTGGAGGAATTAGAGCATCTTCAACCTTGGATTTTGACTCAGCCTTGTTTTCATACTAGGCAGAAATGGCAGCCCTGTCTTTTTATGAAACTCTTATTAAACAAAAAAATTCAGCCAAAGGCTGAGTTCAAAAACGAGGTTAAAATTAAATTTTAAACCTGTTTCGAGCACCCCAGGCTGAGGGCTACTTTATTGAACAAATTCCAACGCTGTCAACAGTAAACAAGTTTATCCCCAAGCTTGAAAATGCTTCATGTAATCGGCGCATACTAGAGTTATTATTAAAAGAGCATAGATTTAGCCAAATTTGAATAAATGAACATTCACACAATCTCAAAGCCCCAAACCGCTCTCGAATACACAATAATTATAGATCTATAATAGTCTATAATAGACTAATTTTAAAACTAGGCAAGGAGATGCAAATAAATCACCACAGCTAGAAAGAGCATACTAAAATGAGTAACATTGCAAATCTTGGTTGCGAAATGTTGTAAAATGCGGAAAACATAGCAAATATTGTATACTTTTGTATTGCGTGCGGAAATTGCTACCACATTTGGGCCGAAAATGTAGCAATTTCCGCACGCAATACAAAAGTATACAAAATTTGCAAACTTTGCAAGGCTATATGTTCCGCATTTTACAACATTTCGCAACTAAACTTTGCGATTTTACTCATTTTAGTATGCTCTTTCTAGCTGTGGTGATTTATAATTTGCATCTCCTTGCCTAGTTTTAAAATTACTCTATAATGGGAATTGTCTGTTATTGTGTAAACACACGCAGGAAGTGGCCTTCTGTTCTTAATATTCCCCAAAATCTGAAATACCCAACGCGAACATCGTTGGTAAGCTACTAGTCTATAAATTTTGTGTATCTTGTCCAAATCTTTGTCATCCAGAGGCCAGTTTAATATCTTCAAGATAGCGACAAACATCTATTTTAATAATAGCCCTTCCGACAGCATGTTCGCTTTGAATTCTGCATGTGTTGACAGTGTAGTAAAGGCAGTCAAGCACTTCTCCCCTTGTGTTTCAGCCTCCTTCAATCATACATCTTATTCATCATATTCTAACGCTTTATCGTGGCAACAAAACAATTCAATATCCTTTGGCTTCAATGTGCAATGCGCCAAGCATTTTCGACCTCAAACACATGGTGATTTCCTCGTCAGACTATTCACTCTGTTCTTCGGAGTCGCTCTCGTCACATCCTCGGTCCCAGGGCCTCACGGCTGACACTGCGTTGCCGGAGGCCCTGGCGAAAACCAAAACCGGAACTTCAAAAATCTTGTAGTTTGCCGGAAGTAAACGTAATAAAATGCTGACTCTGCTTCTTTTTTTGCAAGGAGTGAACTTTGAGAATTTCTCGAAAGAAATAATGTTTTACATGCAAGATAAACATTAATTTGATCTGATTATTTCACCATTAAATGTTTTAATGATTGACCAAATGAGTAAACTAAAGGATCATGTAAATGTTTCAATTATGAAAGCTGTTCAAGTTGATGAATCGAAGGATACAATGCGTAGTTTGGGAGAGTCATTGTATACGGACAGCAATCAATTGGAGAACATGAAAGTTTTTGAATTTTTATTATAATCGACGAAATATACAGACAATTTAAAAGCGATTGTTGTGGATGAAGCCCAATCTTGTTACTGAATGGTGAGTGAGTGATACTGATATATTTGGTTGTTTCTCAATTTTCTTTCTTTGCTATATTATATATAATTGTTATCTGCAAGACTGTACACATACAGACAACATATATTCTGTTTAATACGTCTGGTCTAAACGCTGCATTTTACATGTGCCAAGTCTAGAAAAGTTTGTTCAATTTTTTAAGTGCTACCAAATTATTTTACTCAGCTTAACATGCCAGATGATTGAGTGTACTGGTCAATGTGAGAGTGCTACTGCTCAATGGGTTAATTAATCAGATTATCTATTGTACTTTACTATCTTACTGTCTACTGTCAGACAATTTTGCTCATCAAGGGGAGAGTGGGTATAATTGCAAAGTAATTACTTTGCCACTTTGGACAAATGTATAAGTTACAGTATGTTTACTACGTACCGGTATGTACATGAGTCAAACTTTATTATTTGAGTCATACCATGTAAATTCACATTAGATTTGGCACATGTAAAATGCTGCATTTAGACAGAGACAATGAGCATAAAAACCTGAAATATTATGTGCATCCCACCCACCCTCGCCCCTCCCCTCACCTTAATCTTGATATCCCCAGATAACGATTGTTTGTAGGATATACAACTACCTGTAAGGCATCGTGTGACTGCATACTACGAGCTAGTATCATATTGTACAGTTTAATACATATATATGACTTGAAATATGTATTTTCTTGCCAGCCATTTTCAATCATAAAATTATTCATGTTGCTGTTAAATTATGATTGGCCTAAAATTTTTGGATAAAGATTGTTTTAATTTATAAACATTGTACTACTACTTTAGGAAGGATTTCAGGCCTTGCTATGAAAGGATTGGTATGTTGGGAAGTTTGTTTCTTCATCAACTCAGAGAAAGAAATTTTATCAACTCAGAGAAAGAAATCACATGAACAAAATAAACAATTTTGTGTCATTGATATAAATAATGATTTATTCTTACAATTTCCTCTATGAAAATTTGGTGTGTTAATAAAGATACTGTAAAAAATAAATAACAGCTTTATGGTGCATCCACCATGCTGTGCTTTAATATTGCAGTGGTGTAGGAAATGGAGGTGTGTGGGCACCAGTGTGCTTGTGTGTGGAGGCCGGATGCTCCAGGAGTTCCCCGACAAGTAATATCAAGTCCTCGACAAGGAATATCAGTTTCCCCGATAAGGAATATCAGGTTCCCAACAGGGGGCTATAATCTTTCGAACAGTAAAATTATTGTTTTGCATGTTCAACTTATGCTCACACATGAAAATGTTGAATTTTTTGGCTCTCATGAAATGGTGCAGAATTTATTGTCTGTAACAGTGCATTTACCAGCACTACAAAACAAGGTCATTACAAAACATAATTTTTCCCAGTACAAAGCAAAGTTGCAGTATTACTATTAACAATATAATTTGTCAACTGTAAAAAAACATTGATAGCCTATAAATTAAGCTATATATTGCATGAAATTTAAGGCAAAAAAAGGTGGAAGAACTAACATTTCCAGCTATTATATTAATCACTTTGTCATTATTAAATAGTATTAAAATACAATATGTCATTATTAAATACATTTAATATAAAATACAACATTTTTACATAAATTAAGAGCCTTTGATGAAATTGATATAAAATCAATAAAGTATGTCTATTAAATATAGTATATTATAAAATAATTTATATTTTATAATATACTATATTTAATATAATATTATGTATGGCATGGACCCCTCTTGCATTGAACAACCACACAGACACTCATTCACGATCAGGATTTTCTCATTTGTAATTGAAAGATGCAAGACATCACTCACAATTTTTGTAGATTTGTACAATTAACGGTACAGTCTCTCGCATAGCCTTTCGCCTGTCTTTGTTTATACTCTGTATATAATTAAATCTCGTATATAAAATGTCCCTTCGGCTTCGGCGATTTCAATCTTTAAATAAATCCAATGTCCAATTTTGTGCAGCTTTTTAATACATTGTGACACAATATCCAACATTTTTTATATTAAAAATAAAATTTCCATTGATAGACAGCAGATTTCAACGACCAAAACGACTCTTCGTCTCCTTTGAAGAGTTAATACACTCCTATCTACTCCTATAGTCAGCCATATTTATTAGTAAAAGTTCGTGTTCAATTTCCGCATTCCATTGTTTTCATGCGACCAATCAAATCACTCTTGTTTTGGTTTTCGCCAGGGCCTCCGGCAACGCAGTGTCAGCCGTGAGGCCCTGGGACCGAGGATGCTCTCGTCACCGCTATCGCTTGTTTCTAAGCCCAGTTTAGGTTCAAATTGATAAGGTAATACCTTATCTACTTGATATCGTGGATATTTTCCATCCGAGTAATCAAAAAGCGCCAAATTTCTCACTAGAAGTACGAAGTCGCAATATGCGCCTAATAAAATATATTTGTTGTTTTGATTCTACCCTGCTCTTGACGTCACACAGGTCACGTGACACAAAAGATAATTTTTTTGAAAATCGATCCAAGATGGCGGACGTACTGAATATTTACGGTGAAATAACTCGAGAACAAAACATTTTTGATGAAAACTAATAGCATATTCGTAACCAGGGGGTCCAGTTTTACCAATATCAAGAATAAAAAAATCTATTGCCATTATCCTTTAAAATTCAAATTAAATCGTTACACCTTTTGTGAACTATAATACAGTACTGTATTGTATTATAATAATACTGAAAACCACCAAGTAATAATTACCGACACCGCAATTTTTCTTGCAGGCACCAAAATTATTGAAGGGGAGCTAATTTCACATGGTATTCGAGTGCAAAGAAGAAGACTCCGAGACTCACTAAAGCGAGTTGATCCCGTAGGAAGGAGATTACGCGCAATGGATTCGTGTATACAAAGACGTGTGTACAATGTCCGGTCGCCTCTCGCTCTATGGCACATGGACGGAAATCATAAACTTATAAGGTTCGAAGTTTCTAAATTGTATAATAATCACGCACTAGTAAACAATATTTTATTTACTGTTGTTTTGTTGATTTAAGGTGGCGATTTGTCGTTCACGGTTGTATCGATGGTTTCAGTCGTGTGGTCGTCTATCTAGCGTGTAACACCAACAATACTTCAGCAGCAGTACTGGACCTTTTTAAGAAGGCCGTTGTCGTTTGGGGTTTGCCTTCCCGTGTGCGAGGTGACATGGGTGTTGAAAACCGAGACGTTGCACGTTTCATGCTTTCCCATGAAAGCAGGGGTCCTGGACGAGGCAGTTATCTAACAGGGCGGAGCGTTCATAATTGCCGCATAGAACGGCTTTGGCGTGATGTCTATCAGAGTGTTCTGTCCGTTTTCTACGACCATTTTATGCATATGGAATCAACAGGAATTCTTGATCCTGATAATGAAGACCATCTGTTTTGTCTTCATGAATTGTACAAACCGGTTATTAATGATGCGTTGCGTAGATTCTGTGATTCATGGATGAATCATAAATTGCGCACAGCTGCAAACAAGACACCTCTTCAGTTGTTTATAATGGGAATGCAACAAATTGGGAGGGAGGACAGCGTCATACCAAATGAATATTTTGAAAATCTGGGTGAGGTGAGATATTTTGGTAACTTGGATAACAGAATATGTGCAGAAGTTTTATTTTGTGCTCCCGGATTTGGGAGCTTCGGTGGCCAAGTGGTTAGAGCACTTGCCTTTCACCTCTAAGGCCGCAGGTTCGAGTCTCAGTGAGAACTTTCTCAATGCGACTCGAACCCAGTCCTCATGTGAAAAGAGTAAAAAGTCAACGCTCTGCCGAAGGTCGTGGGTTTTCCCCGGGTACTCCGGTTTCCTCCCACAGGAAAAGTTGACAGGGTGGGTTAGGCACAAATATTCGGTGTAGGACTTCAATTGGGACTAATGGTTCTGTGTCCTTCACCTGTCATCGAAAATGGCGAATTCAAATAAATAAATAAATAAAAAAATAGATGTATGTAGTAACTTTTGACCCCGACATATGATTTGTAATGTGGCAGAGGGTTCAAAAATCCCCTTAGCAATACAAGTTTGAGGGCATGTAATTGTGAGAATTTGCGTTTGTTTGTTTTCATATTTAACATTAGCTATTCATTCATGTTATACAGGCAGATATTCAATCCTACGGATTTGACGCAGATGCGGATCTTCCCGATGAGAACGATGAAACGGATGGCGTCATTGTTCCTGAAACGTTATGTCCTTTCGACGAGGAAGACCTAATTATTTTTAGAGAAAATCTTCACGTCATAGAAGATGCAGACAAGTGGAATATACAGCCTTAGTTGCATGCTTTGAGCACATTACGTTTGCAAGTAAACAATCCTTAGTGTTGGATAACAACAATAATTAGGATAATACGTTTCTTACAGTAAATAAAATAATTACTAGTAGAATAATGTATTACAGTAAAAAAATTTACTAATGAACAGTAAGTCGACAATCCAAGTGTTTCCATATATAGGTATACAATACACAATAACAGCGGAAACATCGTACTTCGAACGTAAAACGTGAACGTAAAAAATATCAAGCAATTGAGAGGTGTAATCAGTGAACTCAAAAAATGTAAATAACGGAGAGTGGATTAGAGAAAATGTGTCAACCGAACTGCTTTTGCGCTTTTCAATCTTGATCGTATATTGCGAGCTACACTTATGCGTTATATAACTAGACGGCGAACCGCTGATTCGAAAACTATATATGCACTTCACGCGTGCCAGTTGTTTATAGTATTTTCTCCACTGGCAGACGGTCAAATAGTCGTGGCAAAATTACTTGCCGCAACATAAATACATAATGCGAATGCATGTTTTTTAAACAACGATAATAATTTTAGGACTTCACTTAAGCTCTGCAATTTTCTCAGCAACAGATTGTGCACGCAATGCATTTCGGTTGAAAAACATTCTTTTAAGTTCGGCAACTAAACGTATTTTAAGTCGTAGAGTGGCAATCATACCAGTCCAAAGTGAGTATTGACGAATGCTATGTCAAAAAATTCAAACATTCTTTCTTCATCATTTGGCAGCTCACCGCCAATTACCAGACTCATCTTGTTGATGCATGTGTTTGCAGTAGGTAGAGGAGATTTGGCGTACACAAATTCTATTCTGGGTGACAGCCCGTAACCAAGAACAGGCTCGTTCTCGCAACAGGTAGCAAACATTAGGATGTGCTCCAGTTTTATGGAACCTCGTCTTCCAGCTACATGAGCAAATAAGAAGGAAAAATATATATGCTGAACGCAACTAAAATAATTTTACCTATTACTTTTACATACATGCATGTAAATATTAAATATCTGAGTCGAATTAAGGTCAGGTCAAGACTGAGACCAAATAAAATGGAATCAAATGTCCTGCTTGAAAACAGTTTCCACGACTTACCCGCTACTTCCTTCATGTATTTCAACAAATATCTGTAGGCCTTCTCTTCTAGCATCCTTCTGTTCGACCCTACCTCACTGAAGTTAGGATTAAGAAGTCTTACTAGCCTCGGATACGTTAACGGAGAAACAGCAGACTGCCGGAATAAGAATAGCAGGCAACGTCGCCATTTTACCAACTATATATGTCAAACAAAAAATGATAAATAAGCAATAAATCACCAATAACTAATTATTAATTGAGAATTTTTAAAATCAATTAATTAACTGTAATTGAAATTAACGTGAATGTATAGGGCAATTCTTAAGAAATTCTTAATATTTAACAATTCTTTACATACCAGTGGTAGTCCAAAACTGGCAATGCCCTGCACGAACTGCTCTTCCATTTCTGTTTTCTCTTGATCCTCCGTAAAAAATGTCTGTAGCTGTCTTTCCGAGAAAAAACAAGGAAGTGGGCCTCCTTGAAGTAGGCTATAACCTATATAAACATTAATAATAACAATTTTTGAATACGTAATGACACATGAAATAACCATGGAAAGGTTAAAAACGCTAGCCACGTTTTTTATTGCGCCGATTTTTCGAATTGTTTCTGTTGACATTAAATTCGCGGTATAGTGAGACCACCTATATTTGTTTTAGGTATACTTGTCGGTACTTCAGATAGTTGTGTCAGTACGGTAAAACCATTCATACCAAAAATAATGCCTGCTCCATAATAGAACCGATTGGTTCGTGCCGTGACATTATCAACCAGAACAAATCCACCTTCTTCTTTATTTTCAACGCATAATTTTTCCTTTATCAATCTTAGCATGTTGGAGAAAAATTCTTTTCTTGGTCCTCCGAAATCACGTCCGTGCTCCCCTGTAAAGATAACCTCCAATGGCAAGCTTCTGTCTACTGGCGCGCTTCCTTCAAAAAGAATTTCCTCCATCGCATCGTAATATAAGTTCATGCGAGAAACAAAGATTTCGGTCGTTTGTCCTGCAATGTATGTTGATTCGTCCACGGGATCAAGAGGACGACCACGCATAAAATTCTTGTGAAAAATGCGGAGTATAGTTACCGGTTCCTCGCAATCACCACTACAAAGAAAAAGCTGTGATAAATATATATAAAAGATTATTCGATATTATTATTTAACACGACGAACATTATTCGCTGCATGTTTACCAACCCATGTACAACTAAACTAAAAAAATATACAATAACACGCCCTTTCGGGTATCGTGCTTCATAACTTTCGCTTTTCACTCGTGTTTATATAACTGCATGTTTATAGACCTATTACAAACCCGGAAATTGTTTAAACCGATTTTTGGAATATATCACTATTGCTTGGTTTCTTACATTTCCAGCACAGTGTCCTCTATTGCTCTCTTTCGATGTTCCTCAAATGGAATCATTTCTCTAAAAGGTTTAGGAAATTACTGCATGATTATTATTTTCTATACGCTCTTATTACAACGTGCTAGGCAACGTAAGCAAGAAATGGAATTGATGATGGGCACTATTGTTGGGGGAGGGGGGCGGGACAGGGGGGTCAAGATCTACCGCTTCCCTTACCTCCCCTTCCCGTATCTTTTTGCCCTGTTGTCTCCCGACTCCTGCGCTTGTTCCACTAACTTGGCTATATTGCCATATTAAGCCGCCCGACCTAATTTTTGTAACGACTCGGATGGACTGTCCGTTTAACAACTAACGCGCAGACATTTTGTGGCAATTTTACAATGACTATTAAAAATAGTCAACAATCAATATTGTGACAATTGTTTTGTTGTAATTTTTGATAGTTAGCTTAGAAAGGACAAAAAGTCACTAAAAAGCCGTTGCGTCCTGCATTCTTCTCCCGCATCCCGCC